CGTCAAAGAAGCAAAGTTGTTCAAAATGTCAAGCTTAATCTACGGGCGTCGACAAAATATGTCCAACGACGTCACTTCCGGCCAAACCGGAAGTAGTCGGAAAACGCGTATTTTGGCCTTTCTTGACAAGTTTTCGGGTATCCTATGTCACTGGGAACATAAAAATTAATTTTCCATCCGTCGTCGTCACTTCCGGTCAAACCGGAAGTAGCAAAAAATGCCGTATTTTGTATTAATTAACATAGCTATTGAGGATTCAATCAAATTTTGGGCGTTATTTCTCATTTTCGTTAAAAATGAAAACTACTTCCGGTCAAACAGGACGGAAGACCCACTCGTTGCTTTGCAACGAGCTTTGCTCTAGTTATTATTATTAAGGTCTTCCATCTTCACGGAAGACCTTATAGTGATTCTATTGTTTCTTCTTATTAAGGTCTTCCGTCTTCACGGAAGACCTTATAGTGATTCTATTGTTTCTTATTAAGGTCTTCCGTTTCCAACGGAAGACCTTATTGTTTTCGTTCGGTTTCTTTTTCCCTATTATTATTATTATTATTTTTCTTCCAACCGATTTTGTGCAAGCGATTTCTCAGAGATGGCTCGTCCGATTTATACCAAACTTTCAGATCTGAAAGATATTCAATTGATCTTGATAGGTTTTTTTTCTTTTTGATGATCTCACTTCCGGTCGTGAGATATGGTGGATTTTCTGATTTTCAGAGGGTCGGCTTGTCCAGGAAACTCCTCCGAAACGACTTAAGATATCAACTTAAGATTTTCAGTGAAAGTAAAGGAAGGTTTGGTGAGTTGTAATTGGGTCTCCAAATCTTTCTAGCGCAAAAGGCGCCGGAGCTCGGTAGGGCCCGAAAAAATGTCTCAGAAATATCTCACAAAAATTGACACATTTTGTTTCATATCTTCATACGCGTTCATAATTTGTTAAAGCATATTGAAGAAAAAATGTGCAAAATCACAAGGCCTTTCATTTGATGTCAAAAAAGTGGAGCTGACCCCTAAAATAAGGGGCTCAGAGGGGCCAGAAGTCTTTTATCTATAACTCCCTAATGATCAATATTTTGTTATACATTACAGAAGCAAAAGTATTTATCTTAACTATTTGCAACAACATATGATACAATTTTGATCATATGTTACGTAATTAGGGGTCACAAGGGGCCAGAATGTCAAATCTTTGACGCTTCATATCTCGAAAAGGGTGAATATTTTGATAAGCAATATTGAACAAAAGATGGCTAGATTAATGTGCTAAACAATATGCATACTTTGAATTTTTGTAAAACGGCCCCATTAAGGACTTGTAGGAGTGGCCCCTAAATATTTATATAAAGCATATCTCCTAAACGAAAAGAAATCTCTGAATAGGTGTAGAACAAAAAGTCTTTGAAATCACAAGACCTTTCGTTTGATATCAAGAAAAAGGGACCGACTCCTCAAATAAGGGGCTCAGAGGGGCCAGAAGTCTTTTATCTTTAACTCTTTAATGATCAATATTTTGTGATGCATTACAGAAGCAAAGATGTTCATATTAACGATTTGCAACAATATATGATACAATTTTGATCATATGTTACGTAATTAGGGGTCACAAGGGGCCAGAATGTCAAATCTTTGACGCTTCATATCTCGAAAAGGGTGAATATTTTGATAAGCAATATTGAACAAAAGATGACTAGATTAATGTGTTAAATAATATGCATACTTTGAATTTTTGTAAAACGGCCCCATTAAGGACTTGTAGGAGTGGCCCCTAAATATTTATATAAAGCATATCTCCTAAACGAAACGAAATCTCTGAATATGTGTAGAACAGAAAGTCTTTGAAATCACAAGACCTTTCGTTTGACATCAAGAAAAAGGGGCCACCTCCTCAAATTAAGGGCTGCAAGGGGCCAGAAGTCTTTCATCTTAAACTCTTTAATGATCAAAATTTAAAGATGAATTTTAGAAGCAAGATGTTCATATTAACGATTTGCAACGATAAATTATAAAATTTTGATCATATGTTACGTAATAAGGGGTCACAAGGGGCCAGAATGTCAAATCTTTGACGCTTCATATCTCGAAAAGGGGGAAAATTTTGATAAGTAATATTGAAGAAAGGATGGTCAGAATAATGTGCTAAACAATATGCATACTTTGAATTTTTGTAAAACGGCCCCATTAAGGACTTGTAGGAGTGGCCCCTAAATATTTATATAAAGCATATCTCCTAAACGAAAAGAAATCTCTGAATAGGTGTAGAACAAAAAGTCTTTGAAATCACAAGACCTTTCGTTTGATATCAAGAAAAAGGGACCGATTCCTAAAATAAGGGGCTCAGAGGGGCCAGAAGTCTTTTATCTTTAACTCTTTAATGATCAATATGTTGTGATGCATTACAGAAGCAAAGGTGTTCATATTAACGATTTGCAACAATATATGATACAATTTTGATTTTATGTTACGTAATTAGGGGTCACAAGGGGCCAGAATGTCAAATCTTTGACGCTTCATATCTCGAAAAGGGTGAATATTTTGATAAGCAATATTGAACAAAAGATGGCTAGATTAATGTGCTAAATAATATGCATACTTTGAATTTTTGTAAAACGGCCCCATTAAGGACTTGTAGGAGTGGCCCCTAAATATTTATATAAAGCATATCTCCTAAACGAAAAGAAATCTCTGAATAGGTGTAGAACAAAAAGTCTTTGAAATCACAAGACCTTTCGTTTGACATCAATAAAAAGGGGCCGACTCCTCAAATTAGGGGCTGAGAGGGGCCAGAAGTCTTTTATCTTTAACTCTTTCATGATCAATATTTTGTAATGCATTACAAAAGCAAAGATGTTCATACTAACGATTTGCAACAATATATGATACAATTTTGATCATATGTTACGTAATTAGGGGTCACAAGGGGCCAGAATGTCAAATCTTTGACGTTTCATTCCTCGAAAAGGGTGAATATTTTGATAAGCAATATTGAACAAAAGATGGCTAGATTAATGTGTTAAACAATATGCATACTTTGAATTTTTGTAAAATGGCCCCATTAAGGACTTGTAGGAGTGGCCCCTAAATATTTATATAAAGCATATCTCCTAAATGAAACGAAATCTCTGAATAGGTGTAGAACAAAAAGTCTTTGAAATCACAAGACCTTTCGTTTGACATCAAGAAAAAGGGGCCACCTCCTCCAATTAGGGGCTGCGAGGGGCCAGAAGTCTTTCATCTTAAACTCTTTAATGATCAAAATTTAAAGAGGAATTTTAGAAGCAAGATGTTCATATTAACGATTTGCAACGATAAATTATAAAATTTTGATCATATGTTACGTAATAAGGGGTCACAAGGGGCCAGAATGTCAAATCTTTGACGCTTGATATCTCGAAAAGGGGGAAAATTTTGATAAGTAATATTGAAGAAAGGAACGTCAGAATAATGTGCTAAACAATATGCATACTTTGAATTTTTGTAAAACGGCCCCATTAAGGACTTGTAGGAGTGGCCCCTAAATATTTATATAAAGCATATCTCCTAAACGAAAAGAAATCTCTGAATAGGTGTAGAACAAAAAGTCTTTGAAATCACAAGACCTAACGTTTGATATCAAGAAAAAGGTGCCCTCTCATCAAATTAGGGGCTCAGAGGGGCCAGAAGTCTTTAACTCTTTAATGATGCATATTTTGTATTAAGTATACATTTTGAGAAGCAAAGATATTCATTTTAACGATATGCAACAATATGTTATAATATTTTGATCATATGTTATGTAATAAGGGATCGCCAGGGGCCAAAATGCTTTATTATGTTCCCCAAACGAAGTTGGGGAACATATTGTTTTTACTCTGTTTCTTATTATTATTATTCTTATTATTTTTCTTCCTGGGAAAATTTTGTCCGCGAGTGATCTTGTATACTACACATCCGACTTAGGTGAAACCTTTTTAGGGTAATGTAACAATCACTATTGCACTTGCGTATATAATTTGAATTTCCCGCGTTTTGTCCCTATGCATACTATTCCCATAAGTCCTTGCAAAATAGCTTAGCCGACCAGAACAATTGAGGCCTGGTCATTCCCGGCAGAGAAGCGTAGCTGCAGACACGTTTCTGATTCGAAGCAGCTAGTATATGTACATAGCAGCAGTACATGCAATATTTTGACACTGGCACGGAGACAGGTCCGTGCGTCATGGATATTGGTATGACCTGTGCTTGATACATAGACTGAGCTGAGGGGATCATTGTGAGGCGAAAGGTTCCAGGGACTAAGACCCGGAAGAGTGCTGTGCGTGGATCCAAATATTTGTTGGTGAACGGATAACAGATAAGTCTATCCAAGAAACTTTGAGTTAGCGCTTTATAAGAAAAGGCAAACTTTTGATTTCATTCCTGCATCGAGGATGAGGATGATGTTGATGATGATGATCGTGATGATGACGAGGATAATCTATGATCTGTGAACATGTTTGGCATTAATAACTGAATTAGATACCCGGGGTGATTGGCTGATTAATGAATTTGTTAATTGGGTAATTGTTGATTACCAATTGTTGTTTTTTCTTTGTTTAATTGTTTAATAGTGAGAAAGAGGGTGTGAATTTGTGTGTGGTAAGTTTGTGTGAGATCTTTGTTATTATTATTTTTTTTTTTGTAAATAAATTTATTAAACTTATTGAACTTGTGTGATTCTTGGAGATAGCCAGCTTGACCACGTGACATTTGGTGGCAGCGGTGGGATTGCTGACCGTCCCCAAATTACACATTTTCACTAAGTAGGTGTAGGTTTGCCAAGTAGTTGTAAATATACGTTAGGTTAGTGGTAGTAGTTACTCTTGGGATTCCTGTATAGTTACACAGAGGTAAGTGAAAGTATGGTTCTCCCTTACATAGGTTAAAGGTAAGGTGACGTGAGACATATTTCTTAATTAGAAAGAATATTATCCTTGGATCATTAAAGTCTTTGGTAAGGTGGCTCAGTACCCATAGGCACGATGACAACCATCAAGGAGATGAAGGAACTCTTGGAAGTTGGGACGCAAATGGGACTCAAGGATGCAGAACTTCAACAGTTTGTGAACAATGAACAGGCAAGACTTAGAGACGAACGTGAGAAAGATCGTGCAGAACGTATGGCTAAACAGGAGCGCGAATATCAGCTGGAACTCGAATCCATGAAGGAACAAAACGCTGAGGCTGAACACAAGAGGAAAATTGAAGAAATGGAAATAGATCACAGATTTCAAATGATGGCAGCAGAGAGATCACATAAAGTTCTTGAGTCAACTGCGCTACATCACACTGAAACACAACAACCTGTTAGAGGACCAAAATTACCAGCGTTTGATGAGGTAAAAGACAACATCGACGCGTACATACAGCGATTTGAAAGATACGCTATCTCACAGCAATGGCAAAGACAAAATTGGGGAGCTCACTTGAGTGCACTTCTAAAAGGAAAAGCGTTGGATGTGTTCGCTAGATTACCACCAGACAGTGCGTTGGACTTTGATGAACTTAAGAAAGCACTGATGAAACGGTTTGACATGACTGAGGATGCATTCAGAAAGAAATTCAGATCTTCAAAACCTGATGGTAGTGAAACCTTTATTCAGTTTTCAACTAGACTTGAAAGTTACATGGAACGATGGATGGAGTTATCGAAAACAGTTAAGACTTATGAAGGACTCAAAGATTTGATGTTACGTGAACAATTCATTTTGTGTTGTAACAAAGAACTTTCCTTATTCTTGAAGGAACGAATTCCTCCTTCTATTCAGGATATGGCCAGATATGCTGATCAGTATGTTGAGGCGAGAGCAACTTGTTCATCAGCTGTTACCCAAAGACCGATCTTCGACAAGAAAGTTTCCTTTGGAAAGCAATTATCTTTTCCAAGTTCTAGTGAAGGAACCAAAACCAGTGGTGGAATCAAGTGTTTTAATTGTGATAAATACGGACACAAGCAGTTTGATTGTCCTTTGAGGAAGTCATCAGCAATTAAGACAAACACACAGGAAAAATTTGATAGACCACAGAAACCACAACAGGGATTCAACAAAAATGGACGTCGCTTTTCGCAAGGAAAAGAACACGACTCTTCTCATGTTGGTGCGCATAAGCCGCAAAGTGACATTAATTCAGTTGATGATGGAGTGATGCCAGTTGTGAAAGGATGTGTTGGCGATAAACTTGTGACAGTGTTATGAGATACCGGATGTCGTGGTGCGGTGATTCGGAAAAGTCTGGTTACGTCAAACCAACTGACTGGAAAAACTCACAAATGCATGCTTGCTGACGGAAGTGTAGTAGATGCAGATGTTGCGATAGTTGAAGCTGACACACCATATTTTACTGGAACAATTGAAGTCTCATGCTTCGAAACACCGATGTTTGATCTGATTCTTGGGAATTTTGATGGTGTTCGGAAACCAGACAACCCGGATATTCATTGGATGAAAACTTCTAAACCTTCATTTGCTGTTGAGACACGCAGTCAACTTAAGAAGAAGCAGTTACCCTATAAACCATTGAGGGTTCCTGAAACTCTACAAGATGTATCACGTGATGAGATGTTAAGTGAACAGACGAAAGACGATTCGTTAAGCAAGAGTTGGGACATTGCTAAGCAAGGGACAGTAAAGGAGCTCGGTGATGGAGGTTCAACCAGGATGTTTATACGGAAGCAATTACTCTACAGAGAATTCAGTAGTCCAAAGGTGTCAAATGGAAAGACGTATCGACAGTTGATGGTTCCGAAGAAGTATAGACCAATGGTTATGAAGATGGCTCATGAATGTCTTATGGCAGGACATTTGGGTGTTAAGAAGACTACAGATAGAATACTAGCAGAATTCTTTTGGCCAGGAGTACAAGCAGATGTCAAGCGATTTTGTCGTTCGTGTGACGTATGCCAACGAACAATACCTAAGGGAAGAGTACCTGCAGTTCCTCTTGGACAAATGCCCATGATATCAGAACCATTTCAACGCATAGCTGTGGATATTGTTGGTCCGCTTCAGCCAGTCACAGACAGAGGAAATCGATATATCCTCACTATTATAGACTATGCGACCAGGTATCCAGAAGCTGTGGCACTTAAAGGAATCGAAACGGAACGAGTTGCAGAGGCGCTTGTAGACGTTTTCAGCAGAGTTGGTGTTCCTTCAGAAATGCTTACAGACCAAGGATCGCAGTTTACATCTGAGGTTATGAAGGAAGTAAGCAGATTGCTGTCACTCAAACGCCTAACTACAACGCCGTATCACCCGATGTGCAACGGCCTTGTTGAAAAATTCAACGGTACGTTAAAGCAGATGTTGAAGCGCATGTGTGCTGAACGCCCGAGAGACTGGGATAAGTACCTCAACGCACTTCTCTTCGCTTATCGAGAGATACCTCAAGAGAGCCTTGGATTTTCACCCTTTGAGCTACTCTATGGTCGATCAGTGCGTGGTCCGATGATGATACTCAAGGAGTTGTGGACCAAGGACATACCAGACAGTGAGGTGAAGACTACTTACCAATATATACTAGACTTAAAGGAGAAACTTGAAGAGACATGTAAGATTGCTCATCAACAATTGGAAAAAGCAAGGAAGCATCAGAGAAAGCATTACAATAAGAGAACAAGGGATCGAAGGATGAAAGTTGGTGACCAAGTACTTGTTCTACTTCCGACAAAGTCAAATAAACTCTTGATGCAGTGGCGAGGACCATATAAAGTTGTGCAGAAAGTTGGCGATATGGATTACAAAGTTGAGATGGGAAGTAAAGTAAAGACACTTCACGCGAATTTGTTGAAACAGTACATTCCTCGTGAGGAAATACACTGTGGAGTTCTTACAACTTGCGCCATATCACTTATTGACTTCAGTGAAGAGGGAACACTTGATGAGCAGAATTCAATGATGTTACCAACAGATACTCAGACAGAAACAGTGTCAGATGTACGTTTCAATGAGGGACTGGAAGCTGATAAACTAGAATCGGTGAAATCTTTGTGCGAGTCGTATGCTGATGTTCTCACTGACGTTCCAGGAATGACTACACTAGTTAAGCATAAGATTGAACTGACATCATCAAATCCAATACGGGTGAAGCAGTATCCTATTCCTTTCAATACCGAGGGTGTCATAAAGGAAGAAGTGGAGAAGATGTTACAGTTGAATGTTATAGAACCATCTGTCTCACCATATTCATCACCGGTAGTCATAGCTAGGAAAAAGGACGGAACAAACAGATTCTGCATAGACTTTCGTAGACTAAACTCTATTACAGTCTTTGACGCCGAGCCTATGCCGAACACAGAGAGTATATTTTCAAAGATGACAGGGAAGAAGTTTGTTTCGAAATTGGATTTGAGTAAAGGGTACTGGCAAGTTCCTATGGAAGAAGATAGTAAAGCTCTCACAGCCTTTTCAACATCGTCTGGTTTGTATCAATTTCGTACTATGCCATTCGGATTAGTGAATGCGCCGGCGACGTTTAGCCGACTGATGAGGAAACTTCTACACGGCATGGTGGGGGTTGACAACTTCATAGACGATATCATCGTATACTCAGATACTTGGGAGGAACATCTGATGGCACTGAGAGAGTTATTCACCAGACTTAGGAAAGCAGGACTTACAGCGCGACCGTCTAAGTGTTTCATAGGATATGATCAGATAGACTGTTTAGGACACATAGTAGGTGACCAGAGACTAAAACCAGATTTAAACAAGATAGAAGCTATTCGAAATGCTCCAGTACCCATGACAAAGAAGCAGGTTAGATCGTTCTTGGGGTTGGCAGGATTCTACAGAAGATTCATACCAAATTTTTCAGCGATTGCCGTCCCACTGTCAGATTTGACAAAGAAAGGACAACCCAACAAAGTAGTTTGGACAGACATTCAGCAACGTTCATTCGATACACTGAAAAAGATGTTATCCTCAGAACCAATTCTGAAACTTCCAGACTTCAGTGAAGTATTTATCTTACGAACAGATGCTGCAGATGACGGACTAGGAGCAGTTCTTTTGCAGGAAGAACATGGAGAGAAGCTTCCAGTAGCTTACGCAAGCAGAAAACTGCAACCCAGAGAGAGATCATACGCTGTTATAGAGAAGGAATGCTTAGCAGTAGTATGGGGAATTCAGAAGTTCCATCAATATCTTTATGGACGTGAGTTTGTATTGGAGACTGACCATCAGCCATTAACATACCTTAACAAGTCCAAAACAGAGAACTCGAGGTTAATGCGCTGGGCTCTACAATTACAACCTTATCGGTTCCGGATAGAAGCTATAAAGGGAGGCCAAAACGTCGGCGCAGATTACCTTAGTCGCCAATAATCAGCTAAGGAGAAATTAGCCAGGTTTGTATTCAGAATTTTGTAAATACGTTCAGTTATTTCAAAATTGTTAGGGCAAGTTAGTAGTGATTGTTGTTTTAAAAAAATGTTACCATTTTTTAATTAAGGGGGGAGGTGTGTAACAATCACTATTGCACTTGCGTATATAATTTGAATTTCCCGCGTTTTGTCCCTATGCATACTATTCCCATAAGTCCTTGCAAAATAGCTAAGTCGACCAGAACAATTGAGGCCTGGTCATTCCCGGCAGAGAAGCGTAGCTGCAGACACGTTTCTGATTCGAAGCAGCTAGTATATGTACATAGCAGCAGTACATGCAATATTTTGACACTGGCACGGAGACAGGTCCGTGCGTCATGGATATTGGTATGACCTGTGCTTGATACATAGACTGAGCTGAGGGGATCATTGTGAGGCGAAAGGTTCCAGGGACTAAGACCCGGAAGAGTGCTGTGCGTGGATCCAAATATTTGTTGGTGAACGGATAACAGATAAGTCTATCCAAGAAACTTTGAGTTAGCGCTTTATAAGAAAAGGCAAACTTTTGATTTCATTCCTGCATCGAGGATGAGGATGATGTTGATGATGATGATCGTGATGATGACGAGGATAATCTATGATCTGTGAACATGTTTGGCATTAATAACTGAATTAGATACCCGGGGTGATTGGCTGATTAATGAATTTGTTAATTGGGTAATTGTTGATTACCAATTGTTTTTTTTCTTTGTTTAATTGTTTAATAGTGAGAATGAGGGTGTGAATTTGTGTGTGGTAAGTTTGTGTGAGATCTTTATTATTATTATTTTTTTTTTGTAAATAAATTTATTAAACTTATTGAACTTGTGTGATTCTTGGAGATAGCCAGCTTGACCACGTGACAGGTAAGTAGGCATGTTATGTAGATTTGCGGAATCAAGGTCATTTTGCGCGCACGTGCTTGCAAGAGCGCGCACGTGCAAAACTTAAAATGACCAATATACAATGGATATAACCGTAACTTTTCTATTTTGTGACGAAATGTTTTGAAACTTATAAAGTAAGGATATATTAGTAGTAAGCACAAGATGGCATGGTCAAAATAGCAAGATTGCACGCGCATGCACGTGCGCTTCGCTCTGATTGGCTGAAACTAAAGTCTCAATATCTTTTTTGTTTTTTGATAAAATCATTTGAAATTTTGAACATAGTCATACATTAGGGAGATCTACAGACTGTAAGATAAGATTTATCATGAATGCATGTGCATGCACATGTGCTTGCAAGAGCTCGCACGTGCAACACGAGAAATGTCCAATATAATTTATACCGACGTAACTATTTAAATTATTGATGAAATGCTTTGAAACTCATATTATAAGTATATATTAGAAGCATAGACAAAATGACGTGGTCAAAAAAGTAAGACCTCACGCGCATGCACGTGCGCTTCGCTCTGATTGGCTGGAACTTAAGTCTCAATATCTTTCTTGTTTCTTGTCATAATCCTTTGAAATTTTGAACATAGACCTAAATTATGAAGATCTACAGCATGATGTATAAGAATTTTCATGAAAGCATGCGCATGCCCGCGTGCTGCAATCTGATTGGCTGAAACTTTAAATGGCTATATCTCCTTTGTTTTTTGACGAAATGCTTTAATATCTAAAACATAGTCATGAATTAGGATATCCTACAATATGATATAGAATAAAAGTCATGAAATCACGCGCATGCACGTGTGCTGCAATCTGATTGGCTTAAACTTGAAATGGCTATAACTCCCTTGTTTATCAACCAAACAGGATGGGATTTAGAATATATATAGATATAAGGGACTCCTACAAGAAGGTATGGTCATCATGCACGTGCACGCACGTGCGTGCATTTGGAACGAGTGAAATGAAAAATACACTTGAAAGAGTGATTTTTCTTACTTTTGGACTGAATGCTTTAATATATTGTATATTAAAATATGTAGATAGTGTAGACAAGATGATATGATCATAACGCACATGCATTCACATGCGCACGGGTGCAATGCTAAAATTTAAATATAATTGGTATCTTTCTGAGAAAACGTTGTTAAAGTCAAAAATGCACAGAGTTTGTCTTATTTAATGAAGCTTACAGGGAATATGGCACCAAAAAGGAGTTGGGGAGCGTTTGGGGAACATCTGTAACGGTTCCCGTTACAATTAGCACTAGTTTTTTATGCTTTACATCTCGAAAAGGGGGAGTATTTTTATAAGCAATATTGAACAAAAGATGTTCAGAATATTGGATAAAAAAACAGAAACTTTAAATTTAATGAAGAAAAACTTAATGTCATTCTCTTTTAACGAATATCTCAGTCAAAATCACATCTCATCTTATCTAGAAATTTAACGGAAGACCTACTCGTTGCTCGCAACGAGATCGTATCTAGTTATTATTTTTATTATTCTTTTTATTATTTTTTTGACTTTCTAATTTTGTGCACTCGATTTCTCGAAGACTACTCAATGGAATGACGTGAACTTTTCAGGAAAGATGTGTCGGAACATGAATTTTGTATATCCGAGAGAAAATTTGGAAACTCACTTCCGGTGCCAAGTTACGGACAATTTCCTGAAATTAAAATGACATTTTGTCCGCGATTAAACTCAAAATCGGTAAAAGATATCAACATGAAACTTTCAGGGATTATAGATAGTGATATATACCATCCAGGACGCGACACTTTGTTCATCGTCGGTACTTCTTGTCGTTAGGAGAAGCGAATTAAAAAATCGTATTTTCTAACTTTTTTGTTTTTCAAAATTTTTTATTTATTTTTGGAATGATAATAGAGACCCTTTGATCGATGCTTACTATATAAGTTGTTTGGCTATTGGTTAATCAGAACTCTAGATATTAATATTTGAAAATCTGAAGCGGACCCAAGATGGCGGCTGTCTCTGTCAACTCCACCATTTCGCGAGTAGGGGTTTATGGAGGCAGCTGAGCGTTTGACTAAATGATACATGAAAAGTAAAAAAACTACGTGGACTTTCACCTAGTAGTACACTGCAATATGGAGGCAGCTGAGCGTTTGACTAAATGATACATGAAAAGTAAAAAAAAACTACGTGGACTTTCACCTAGTAGTACGCTGCAATTCAGTGACAATCTTAAAACTTAATTTCCGTTTTACTGCTTTAGTGTAATTGGGCTAGATACGTGTGTGCAATGTGTTAAATTTACTTTCTTAACGTCGAAATAAAATAAAGGCGATAAGAAGTTGTTTTATTTAATATTTAATTTCATTGAAGCTATCACACCTATTTGATAGATCAGTCCAAAGGATAGGCACGAATATTTACTCGTGGTGTTTGTCGCCAGATTATGAATAGTGGCCCGCCTTTTATGATTCTTAGACAGGTGTACTGTTGCAGGTGTACTGTATACATAACTATATTTAGAGCAGTATTCAAAATTTATTAGTTTTTCACAAACGTAACCACTGTGTTTCCCATGCACACTTGATTCATATTAAAAATACAAAAGACAGAAATAAGAAAACCTTTTTTAAATAAGATCGTCTAATGGAGTTTATATTTATTTAACATTCTTTTCTCAAAGATATTTAAAGTTGAACATTGAACAGAAATGAAATCTGATTCCTTGACCGTCGAAGGGCGAGACATGTCTTTCATCGAACCATTTCTACCTTTTCATGAAGGTGTAAAGAATCAGGTTACTTCACTTTGGGGATAAACGGGTAATAAAAAAAAAATTTAAAATGATTCCAATTTCACTTCTTTTGTGTTACTTACCTATATAAGATATAGAATATGTACAATCTGTTAAATACACTTTCTAAACCTCGAAATTTAGGCTTAAAGAACGTTCCTTTTTCTTTATTTTATTGAAGCTATCACGCCTATTTAATGAAACATTACAAAGAAAAGGCGCGCAGATTAACTTGTGGCGTTTGGCGCGAAATTATAAATAGTGGCGCGCCTTTCGTGATTCTTAGACAGGTGTATTGTTGAAGAAGTATATTCAAGTACATTTAGAGCAGTGGACTCAAACGTGTAATTTAAGCGTGTTGGGAATAAAGAGAATAAAAGCGCGTTGGATTTTCACGCTGGCGACCTGGGTTCAATCCTCTTTGCGACCACTTTTTCAGCTCGATTTTAGGTTCTTTTCCTGAATCGGACGGAAGACCTCTCGTTGCTCGCAACGAGATCGTTTCTAGTTATTATTATTATTCTTTTTTTTTTAGACAAAATTTTGTGCAGGCGATTTCTCGTAAACTATTTGGTGGATTTCAATGAGAATTTTAGGAATTATAGGTCATTATATGAATTTTATATAAAATTCCGTTTGTTGGAAAATTCGGTACCAGTGCCAAGTTATGGGCAATTTCCTGATTTTAAAATGCAATTTTGTCTTCGAGTGTTCTCGAAAACGGCTAAAGATATTAACTGGAGAATTGTTAGAGATGATAGACCATGAGTTATAGATGTGCAATTTTGACTTCGTTTGCGTCGTAAGAACTTCCGGTCGCTACAGAAGGTGAATTCAAAATGTACACTTTTTCAACTTTTTTTGTTTTTCAATATTTTTCTTTGATATAATTAATGGTAATCAAGACCCTACTGGAAAGGTCAAATATATAATTTATTTAAGAATTGATCAATCTGCACACTAGATATTCGCATTTAAAAATCTGAAGCGTGTCCAAGATGGCGGCGGTCTCGGTAAACTCCGCCATTAAGCAAGTCGGGTTCTAGAAGGTCAGCTGAGCGTTTAGATGAACAAAACTTCTACCAAAAAGATTTATGAAATGTAAAGGATTCTTTTGATTGCTACATCGCAATTACGTTGCATTGAGTATACTTTTAACATGAGGTTTCCTTAAACTTCTATTGAAATCGCTTTTGCATCTCATTGTAGAATACAACATGACTACAAGTGGAAATACGATGACTTCAGTCTTTTATTTTGCACCAGGGAAAACTTATCCTAAACCAT